CACACACACACACACACACATTCTTTGCCCTGCTTTAGAGCCTGGACTGTTTGGATGTTTACAGGTGGCCATGAGTTCTCTTTGGGGGGAATGTATGTTTTGTGGGCCGGCGTGGAAAGCTTTCCCAGTTTTTTTGGACCCTTGGCAGGGGGGGTCGGTGCGTTCTTGCTGGAGGAGTCTTCTGTCTTAGGTAAGTTGTCTCTTATATTCTTCCTCCTCTTTGGCAGTGACGCGAGTGTGTAGTTTGAGATGAATGTCGGGAATGCCAATGCTGTTATATTTGATTGTTTTCAGTCAATGAGTTTTTGGTTTTGTGGGCCGATGTGGAAGGCTCTCCTAGTTTTTGGATCTTTGAGGGGGTTGGGTCGGTGCCTTCTTGCTGGAGTAGTCTTCTGTCTTAGGTAAGTTGCCCTCTGCCCTCCATCCCCTTAAGGTTTGAAATCTATATGTATACATATGGATATGTGCAAAAGTGCCGCTTTGGCAGCAGACGGGTGTGTGGGCACTTGGTGCTGAACCACACAAACGTGGCCAACCTTGCATTTTCTATTATATTGCCTGTCTATACTTTTTCGTTATGGATGGCTTGTGATGATTTGTGAAGGGAATGAGAGAGAGGATCTGGGGTCTTTTAAAACAACACACACACACACACACACACGCACACACGCACACACGCACACACACACGCACGCACACATCATAACCACAAATAAAAATAGCTCCTACATAAATAATTAAAAAATCATAGCAAAAGAATGAAGACCTAATAACAAAGTAAACCTGAAGTATTACAAAGTACTAAAACGAGAAATACAACGGCATGAACTGTGTGTCTAGCACATACAATTTTAACTGGCCTGGAGCACTTAAAACCAAGTACAAATAAGCATGCAGTTGTTCCAGCAAACGGCAATGTTTTTTCTTTAGAGATCACTCTCTAAGATGGCCATCCTAACCAAAGAACCTAACAAGATGTTGAAAAAAAGCAGGATCTCCTCCTCCAGGATTGAAAAAAGTGGTATTAAAATTTCTCTCAGTTGGGATAACTAATTAGAGTTTACTGATTGCTTATCCTGCTGGGGGTAACTGGACATCATGATTTCCGTAATTGCAAACTGGTGACAATACTGTCTTCGCGAATTAGGATTGCTGATGCTTGTGGCGATGGGGGTAACTGGACATCTTCACTTTTTCTGTAATTGCGTTCTGGTGGCAACACTGTCTTTAATAGGCCCTTTACGGTATTTTCCTTCACTAATTAGGCTGTTGCGTGGAGATTCTACCCAGGATGAGCAACATGAAACTTGGCTTGCGCTGGAGTAGCAGTAGGGCATATCTTGTATGGGTCAGAGGCAATGTGGACTGACTTCCCTCGCCCGTGGCCAGGCTACCCCTCTCCTCCCCTCCCTCCCAAATCCAGCACAGACGAGGAGAACTTAGAGGTTGAAGACAAAGAGGTATTGGGACATGAGGGGGTGAGTGGGGGAAAAGGAGGGAGGCGTGATGGACTGTGGAAGGCAGTAAGAGGGGGGGGGGGGGGGGGGGGGGGGGGGGGGGGGGGGGGGGGATGAAGATGGAGGTAGGGCTGCATGGGGACAATGCAGCACACCATGGAGAAAGTTATGTGTGCTTGAAAAGTTCGAGGGGGGAAAATGTTAAAAAGTCGCAAAAGCTATACGCTGTGTAGAATTGCTATGCAATGTTGCAAACAACTTTCTGCTGAGGGTCACTTTCATGTTAAACACCTCACCTTCCCTAGTGAAGCTGTTCTGGCTTTTCTGTTTAAAAAGAAATAAAAAATAAAAAAAATGTTAAACGCAAATGACGAATTTATAACAGCGCCCGTCCTGCAGAAAGTCTTCATGTGGGAGGACAAACAGACCTCCCTCTTCGGCCGCGCGTTCGTCATCAACAACGTAGTGCTGACGTCCCTGTGGTGCAAGTCCGCAATCTGGGCCTTGACCAAGCCTGCTCTACGGCCCATCCAGGGACAGATTGCTGCCTTTCTGTGGCTGGGCAATCACGAGCTGCAGCACATCAGTGGCATGGCTCTCGGTAATTCAGCGTATGAAACCGCGCGTTCATTGAACGCGGGAATTCCTTTCATTCCGTTCAGAAATTGAACGGATTGAGCGTGATTCCACGGTTTGGGCCTGCGGGGGGTAAGTGGGCTGTGTCGGCGAAGGGAAGGGGTGTCGGAGGTCTGGAAGGGGTAGTGGAGTCCAAAGAAAGGGGAAAAAAAAAAAAAAAAAAGCGCCAAAGAAAGTAAAAGGAAAAAAAAAGGCCCTCAGACACTGCCAGTGGCGGTGTGCATAAGTGGGACCTCCGTTTGTGAACGGCACGCGTAAATGCATGCACCGTTCTGGAGTGGGTGCCCAGCGCTCAAACGCGCGCGTGCACCATATCATTGGGGGGGGGGGGGGAGAGAGAGAGAGAGAGAGAGAGAGAGAGAGAGAGAGAGAGAGAGAGAGAGAGACGTTCGAGTCAGAGACACACGAGGACGCGAGACAGAGGCAGACACGTGGACCAGTGACAGCGGAGCAGCGCAGCGTGAGGAGCAGCGGCGGTGTCCACGTGTCGAACACGAGGGCAGCGTGACTAAAAATTGAATGAGCGTTCAATTTCTGAAAGCGGATGCAATTTTGTTTTTGAACGGTGTTCCAACGCAATTGAACGCCATTCAAATACATTGGACGGGAGACATGGGAATTGAATGCACTCTGCAGCGTGTGGGGGGGCGCGGGTGCAGGGGGGGGGCTGTTGGGGGTCTTCGTGGACTGACAGTTGCACCGGCAATTCGTGGGGGTGTTCAGGAGCGTGGGGGGGTACAGGGCCTGCTAGGGAAGGAGGTGGTTCGCAGGGGTGTTTGGGGGCTTCGTGAGGGTGTTTCGGGCCTTTCAAGGACAGTGCTTGGATAGGATCAGTGATCATGGGGAGGAGCCAGGCACGCCTGTTCCAGGAGGCTGACGAGCTTGCACAGCAGAAGGCTCAGTGGAAGTGCGTCGTCTTCAAATACATTTGTGTCCGCCAAGACCTCGGGAACCCTGGCATGAAGATGTTCAAGTGCGTCTTTTGCGGACACGAAGTCCAGGGGACACAATTTGTTGCGGCGAGGCACTTCAAATAGGGAAAGGGGTGTCCGCAGGTCACAGACGAGGCGCTGGTGGACATCCATTACAACACGAACTAGCAGTTACACTGTTACGAGGAGCTCCACGGTGGTGCGCCAGCAAGGAGGAAAGGGCGAGTCGTGTGCAGGCGGCGAGGAAGTGGGAGGGCAAGGGATGGATGATGTGATCGATGACGATCCGGTGCAGGAAGGATGTGAGGCACCCCATACGCAGCGGCCAGGGAAGGCTCAAGTGGGTGAGACTTCAGGGAAGAGGAAGGAGAGAGAGACAGGGGGGAATGCGGGCCTGCGAAAGAAGATGAGATAACCTGCAATCAAGGACGCGTTCGTCTGCCAGTGGATCGTGGAACACGAGAAGAATTTATGCACAAATTTATGCGATTCGTGCACACCCAGCAGTTGCCCTTCAACGTCTTCCGCAGTGATGCAGTACAAAAGACACTTCGCTGAGTTGCCAAGGCCTATCAAGGCCTTATGGCCTTCGCCGACAGAGATCGCAGCGATCGAGTCCGTTCGTCAGATTGCAAATGATGTTGCTGCAGATTTGAGAGACGTCAGGGAGCCGTTTTACATCATGGGCGTCACGATCCTATGAGACGGCATGAAGCCTCGCGATTACAGGCCAGTCATCAACTTCCTTGCCGCAGCATCACAAGGTGTGTTGATGATGGGTCAACGCTATGTGCACGGACTCGGCGGAGCGTATAGCGCTGTTGCCAACACATTGGCCAATCCCAAGATGAGACCGCAATATAGACGCATCACGTGGATCCCGTGTGAGGTGCATCTATGCAACAAGTTGTTGTCAGACATAGGTACAACGAGTACGTGGATTAGTGGCACTATACTGCAGGCGAGAGCGGTCATACGCTTAAAATGTCGCTCTTCGCCTGTTTAGGCTGGAGAGCAGACATATGGGCCTCATTTATCCGTGTGAGAAACGATTCGCATCAGTCTTTGCCATGTTGGAGCGTCTTCTCACCATCAAACAGGCCTTGGAGAGAATTGTTGACACGACGGGGTGGAGTCGTGTCATTTGGGGGACACACACATTGACCAGCTCGCTAGATGGGTGAGGTGGCAGGTGAGACATGGCAGGTGGTGAGACTCGGTCGCGACATTGGTCCGCATCATGGATCACGAATCCGATCTGTTGTGCCGGTTGTATCGCGGTGGTATGCACGTCTCACGCGTTATGTCGTGGACGCAGCAGCTGCAGATTGATATGGTGCGGAACAAGTTGGGTTTCCAGAAGGTCGCAGAGTTGTTCGAGATAACGGCCAACACACGCCTCCTTGCACATCAGCGCGCAGGTCACGGGTTCGCTTTGCCATGGATGCGCGACGCGTTGATGTTGGATTCGGGGGCATGGATGGGGACAAAGCCTTTGTGGGACGGGATATATGATAGGAGGACACAAGAGGAGCGTTAGGAGCAGCAGCGTTGGTGGCAAAGAGATTCGTGTAGCTCGAGGGAGCCCGCGTCCGTGGAGCATGTTTTTGGCACACAAGTGCATACTTTGCGGCGGTACCCAAGAGATGATACGGACAACGAGGACTTCCCTCAGGGCGCGGGTGGAAGAGGGGAATGCGGGCAACGGGGACGATGGAGGGGACATAGATTGGTGCAACCCCGACGATGTTCGTAGTCGGAGCAGTGGGGTAGACGATTTCGGGAAGGGGGAGGGAGTGGAGAATTTATCGGGTGAGTATGGCAGGCCTAGGGAGCGTGGAGATTGCGATCGCGATGTTCGCACTGTGGA